TAAACCCAAATAAGGCAATTTTGAGTGTTTTGATAGACAAGGATCTACAGAAATCAAAAAAATTGGCCCATATGAATCACCGTAAAAAGCCATCCAAATTCAAAAGAACGTTTATATTTACTATGCGAAATAATATAATGCAAAAATAAACACCAAGAATTTCACTTAAAAGCGAATATTTTATTTTTTTTATTTATTACAATATTATATAGCTATATATAAGTAGAAATGTTGAAGATAGACAATACTCGTGACGTTGCGTGTAAGTTTTAATCTTGAAGAATATAATATATCGCTTAATATGTTATCTTAATAATTAGTTTTAATACTTACTGTATATATATTGCGTATAATACTAATTATATAATATATAGAGTCAAATTGATGGGTAAGCAGGCATCATTATGGTTTGGACTAAGTATTAGATTGATAGATACAGTATATACAAGTAGTGGTGGTATTTTTCATTGATTATATAAACTAAGGGTCATATTCGTCTTTAGTAAAGGTCGTGATGACTGAAAATAGAATAGAATTACTATTTAAAATATGTAAAATTTTCGCTAATAATTAATAATAATTTTAATTTGCTCGTAAAATTAAAATAGTTTTTGATCGACACTAGTGTTCTGAGAATTGTTGATAGAACTGTGGTAAGTGGCTACTGGATTTTTTCTAGTTAAAATTTTTCTATCACATGTACATATGTTGTGGAGATGGGATTTAAAAAAGAGGAATCGGAATTTCTTAGTTAAAATAAGGTTAGAGTATAGGTTTACATTCTAAATTCTAATCTAACTAAAGAATTCGAAATTCACTTAAATTTTGTTTCACTTATAACATATATTCTAATATTCGATATGTCGAAGGTCAAAATCACGAAAATTCAAGAGCAATGCTCGATTTACTCGTTATTAGATCCTTAAGTCATGCGACTGCGAGTGGGCCTTTAAATTTGGATTTGTTTATAGGATTAGAAATTTACATAAATAAAGATCAAACGTTTTCCGGATCCCTGATTTAAGAACATAGATGGGTTCACTTATAATTTAGAATTTTTTTTATGGGTATTAATTTTTATCTATTTATGCAATTTTTTGTGAAAACAACTACTAAGTCTACTACGACTTTTTATAACGAAGTTCGTAAAATATAATCGTAAACCATTTTTGGTTAAAAAAAAAATGGCGAATTTATAAGTCGATGCAGATCAACAATTTCATTATACATATTATTATAATTTGTTAAGCTAAAATTTAACTTAATCTCATGAAAAGAAATAAAAGAAATCTACAATTAATGACCCCACCCATATTATAATAGGCACCACTTATGAGTAATGCAAGTAATGTATCAGAAAAAAGCTCAAATATCAGTGATATCTTTGAGTATCAGCTAAGTCTTGAATTGTCAGAATCTTAAGCGTTACAAATATTTAAGAATAATTGTTTTTATTGAAATACTTTAAAGTCCATTGAAATTTTAGATTTCTGTCAATAACACCGCATTACGGTTTATGTTTTATAGCTATTTAAAGACCTTAATTAAAATGTTGTATCACTTCTTATTGATCTAAATCTATTACTTGAGTACATCGCTTACGCACTATCTCTAATGACATGAAGTATATTGGTGTTACACAAAGAAAGTATAACTCAATATGTCTACAAAAAAAAATAACTTTCTGTTACGATCAAAAGCCTATGCGTGAATTATTTTCATCATAAGAAATCGATCAGCCGATTTAGAAAAAATAAAGTCAACCGGCCAAGCCGAAAATTAGGTTTAGCCAATGTTTTCATTATCGGCCAAGATCACTAATCAATGATTGATAACATGAGCAAAATGACCAGGAATGCGTTGAAGGCATCTTTCGCAGTCTGTTCTACGTCCCATTGTATAAACTACACAAGGTTTATTTGTTTGTCTGTGATGATGACGTTGCGTTCGTGTGGTGTTCAAAGACAATTGTGGGATCATCTCATGTGGTTGATTCTGAATTAAGGTAACATGAAGAGATCATTTATTCAAATAAAGATTTTTTATTGCAAAAAAAAACACGCGAATTTTAATACCATTTCAACATCCAAATTTTCATCAAATTGACGTGCTATTTTCTAAAAATAAAGAGTTATTATGAATTTACTTATCATGTCTAACCAAAAAAAATCAATCGCTTACCAACGAAATGTAATAATACATACCTGCGCTTGGTCACTTTTGTTCATACTATTACTCCGAGGCCTCTTTCGTCCAGTATTACTTGGTGGAATAGCAGGTGTTGAATTAAGGCTTCCAAAATGAATCGCCGAATGATTAAAATTAGCTATGCTTATAGAGTAATTCATGTCTACTAAAACTAATAGTTTCCTTAAGGTTTTTCGCTTTTTTAGAAAAAAAAGGTAATATTGGTAAACAGGGTCTAGGAACCGAGCTCGTTTTATATTCGATATTCACAAAGCGTGTATTACCATTTTAGTCATTTTAGTCATTTTAGTCTAATAGGTTGTAACACGTGCCTCTCATTTAGAGTATCACCTGAGAGTACTTTTCGTTGGTCGAGCGCGTAATTAATAATTGTCACGTGGATAACGAACCGCCAAAGTTATAAAGTTTGAGTTGTAGGTCATTGATTATCTTTTTAAAATTTCTCTTGATAATCAGCGAAATTTGTCACATATAAAGATTATTAATTCTTTTTTTTTTTTTTTTTTAGGTTTCCATTAGCACTATTAATCAGGGCTGAAAATACCTATTCATTTTCCTAGCCATTCAAAAATATCATTTTTTGATCAAAATTATTTGCATCTTTTTTTTTAATGTATCAAAAAAGACATTTGAGACATGAGCTGCAGGCCGGGAAATGGAATATTCCAATATTATGTATCAAAGGCAATTTAATGTATCTAATGTTCCCTTTTATTCCCTTTTATACCAACAATACTATATCAGATATTAGATACGTACTTATCTATTATGTACTTACGTACTACAGTACAGGTCAGAGTCCTCGGCCATCACTTTTGCTGTGACGCAATCATGGCGCAGCCAGCCAGATTTCTACTAATGAAACCACAGCCGCCCCCATTAAGTAAATATCCCCGGACCAATTTTGCTGTAAAAGAGGTCAAATTTTTCTTTTTGAATTCAAAAAGCTCAAAAAAAATTTTTTTTGCAAATAATCTTCGGCCAAATTATAATTTTGAAGATCATTGGTCTAAATTAAGTTAAATGCAGGCCAACTGACTGATCGACGTCACTGCAAAATTGACAGGTATAGTTTTAAAAGCTACGTAATAACTCATGACACAAAAAAAAAAAGAAAGCCATTCTTTTGTAGCTAATTTTATTACAAAATAGCGGCCTTTTTTTATGTTATTGGAGTTTAAAAAAAACTGTATTTTTATATGAACGACTCAATTAATATTTTTTTATTTTATATAAAAAAATATATAATATTTACAACTAGGGAGTGCTCCAGACAATAATAATAAGTTATCAGGCAGGCACTGCCTGATAACTGGTTTATTTGGTCGAGGATTTTAAGATCAGACTAAGAAATTGAATTCCGAAGGAATTCAATTTTTTAGGCTGACCTTAAATCCTTGACCAAATAAATAAGTTATAAGGTAGTATCAGCATGTCTGATAACGGATTTATCCGGTGGTTTATTATAATTTTCTGCCCAATAATAAAATTATTGGGCAGGGACAATGATTTAAACTATTTTAAACTTCGTTTCTGCCCAATAATAAAATTATTGGGCAGACAAATCATAGTAAGCTGCCGGATAATAAAACATATAGCCCGCTCGGTGAACTCCAGAAGTAGGTTATGTTATTATACGTAGTCATTAACAACCTTATTTATAACTTTAATTAATACCGATACGTCTTTTTTTGTTAAACAACCAATCAAATTACAGAAAATTTAGCCAATCAAAATTCAGTAAATTAAAAATTCAAGAATTTAAAATTTTTTAAATTTTTAATTCTTAGCCCATATAAGAATGATCGGATTTTATATAAATTACGAAAATATAAATTATATACTATGAATTTTATAGAAGAATGAAATCTTTTTTACAATTATAAATATTTTATACAGTATATAAATATTTTATAATCTACAGTACATACTAAACCAATTTTAATAATTTTTTTTATACTACAGTATATACTGTATATAAAAAGCATTCTTCTACATTTTTAATTAGGAAAATTTAAGTATATTAGTATAATAAAAAGAAAATCATTAGCTATGGAGAAAAAAAAATATCATAAATCTAATAATTGGGTTGTACTCGGGTAGAAATCGCTACGTATTATGTGATACAGTGTAGTAATTTATCCGAATAACCAAGGTAATTCGAGTAGAGGTTTCCCACGGGTACAATCTCTAAATTTAATACGTAGTAATTTGCGCTTATAAAACACTATCTTATGTGAATTAGCAATTAAATTTCATTCCTATCCTTAAGTGACATGTAATGTAGTATCTAGGAAGTCATAAATGCAAGTATATATATATTTATATATATTTATATTTAGCCGTAACACTGTTTTCAAATAATGCAGAATGATAGTGTAATATAAAAATCAATTAGCTGTGTGAAGAAAACTTAGTGTGGTGATTCGAAAGAAAGAACACCTCATCAATTACCTTTAGAATATTAAATTTATATCATTTTCTATATTTGGTAACGGAAGATTTTCTCATTATCGGCAAACATATACGTATATGCATTATTAAGTGCGCAAAGATTGAGTCCGATGACTACGTACTAGATTCCACATAATTACTAATATTTTATAGTCCCTGAAAAAAAAAAACTTAATCATTGTGTCATATTGTTGAAAAATAAGGAGTGTATGTAATGTGTATTTTAAAAGAAAGCATTCAATAAAATTTATTAAATATTGTTAACGTTAAAAAGGTTTTATTACTTAAGAGTTACGCACCACGACCAGAATCATCTAGATTCGGTCATGATCAGCATTTTTAAGAGAATACTTTTTTAGGTCAATACTTATGTGTACGTGACGTAATACTATACAACTATACGTACAATGGGGATTTTTTCGTATTTTCCGCCGATTTTTAATAACCGGTGATTACTCCAGACCAACCTCGATAGTTGTGGATATGTTGATTAATTATTTCCTACAAACTTCATTGACATAACAACTTTCAACAAGGATAAATGGTAAAATTTCAGGTTATGCATATGACAATCACCTAAGAACTGAGTAAACAAGTTTAAGTTCCGGGTTTCGTAATATATTACATAAACCCGATCATTTTATTCAAATTACTAGATTACATCCTTTTTTGGTGGTGGTTAAGGAATTTTTTGTTGTTTTCGGCAATTTTGGTTTATTTAATCCTGTAACTACAGAACTAGTCATGTAAATGACCATTGTACTTTTTTTTCCCTCCTTATTATAACCAATCTGAATTATATATAATTAAAAAAAAAAAAAAAAAAGAAGAAAACAAGTCCATAAATTGAAAGAAAGTTCCAATCAAATGGAAATGTTACTAAAATTAAATATATAATTCAATCACTCTAAAAAAAAAACAAATTAGTAAATCACTGCTATATTATGCCATAATTGTCCTCTTGCAATGTACCAACAGAAACTGATCTTTTGTTTCGTCTAGATTTATGTTTTTTTCCTAAAAGAGATGTCTTTTCATCAGCATTATGATTGTCTTCTTCCTGTATCATCTCTTGAAACTTCAGAATTTCTCGAGAAGAATTTCCAATATTCTGACATACATTAGGACTGTTTGTTTCAGAAAAACCATCAAGATCTCTATATCTCGTGAAAGTTTCTTCGCCTTCGTATAGTTCTGTTAATCCTTCTATGTCTTGTCCGTATAACATTCTACTTTCTTCTCCTGTTAATAATCCTTCTTCGGGAGCGACGTTACGTCTCCAAGATAATACAAGAACGCCACATAATAATATGCATATACCTAATATTACCAATAATATCTGATACCATTCTAATTCATCCCATTGATCATAATATACAAGACCATTAAATATCGACGAAGCATTATACGTACAGAAGGAAAGGGGTACTAAAATGACCGTATCACACATTCGTAAACCTTTGTTAAGATAATAAAGCTAATTTTGATCATTTTTGTAAAATTTTTATAAATAAAAAATAAAATAAAATAAAATAATAATTCATAATTTAATTGCGTAAATATTATGATTAAAAATTATGTTATTAAAAATTATTATTAATGATTATTAAGTAAAAAAGTAAATTCAAATTAAAATCAAATTTACCTGTAATAAGGCAGTGACAATTAGTGCTATTACAATAATCCAACTCAACGGTCGATCAAATTGATTTCGACAGTTAATGGTTAAAAGTAATAACTCTATACCACTCTTTGCAAATAACAAACTTTGACTAGATATCATGCCTCCAACCATACCGTATGTTATTCCAAGCACTGTCTGAAATTTTTTCCAATGCCATCCTAAAATAAATTCTCTATCATTTCGATTCGATCTATTTAGTAAATATTCTCCATATTTGGCAGCGATAAGAACTACGATGAGGATAAACTCAATGGTTGAAAAATATGCAATAAATGCTGGACGCTTATATAACTCTATTAAGTCATTAAGAGAATGGTTTTGTGCTTTGACAACACCAAAGAAAGCAATCATTACCGCGCCAATCAGAATAAAAAGTGTCCCTAAAAAAAAATAATAAAAATTTAGTTAAATATAATTAAATATAATCGAAAAAAAAAAAACTTTCAACTATGAGCGAAAGGAAAAGAAACAAACCTATTACTGATTGCCTTGAAAAGACATCCCCCAATAATAATTGAGCAAAAAATGCATTAAATATTAAAGTTACTGCACCCAAAGGTGCTAATATGATAATAGGAAGATACCCAATAGAGAATATACTTCCAATGATATTGGAGATTAGGTAGGTGTCAAACCCTAAGTGCCATAACGGTCTTCTGCATGCAGATCGCCGTAGCTCTTTAGGATATATATTTTCGTTTAAAACGTGAGATTTTCTCTGTATAGTAAGTCCAAGGGATTGAATAAATGAGGTGGAGACAGCTATTGTAATACCGATAAGAAGATTTATTTGTTTTGGTTCAACCGCTGGTTCATTAGTAGTTGAACAATCCGTCATTGTTTTGAAAGAGAAATATTCTCAATACATAAAGTTTATGATTCGCACGCACGCACTGCGTAGTGATTTATGAAAGTTTTGTTTCAGAAAATATTGCTATTATGTCTTATATTCTTATTATGTCTTAGAAATAATATATAATGAAAATTATTAACTATATAATATAAAATTTTCAAAGGTGATCAAATATAAAAAAAAATTATATATATAAAATAATATAAAGAAAATCAAAGAGCTGAAATCTTTAGAAGATAGCTCATACTGTACTTCAAACAATTATATCAGAATTTTGGAACTACACAACTCGATGTTTTGGGAAAAAGCGAATCGGGAGACGGCAATATTTATAACATCTGATATCCAAAATTGAAGTAGTGATATCATGACAAAGTGAGAAATTGAATAGGTGACACCTTTGCAATTCGGGGAAAGATTTCTCCAAAGACCGGTTTCACTACGATGACTAACACAAGTCACGTTGTTTACGCAGGTATCGGTACGTGCGTGCCGTACATTCCTGATACGTATGTATCAAGTACGTACTTGGTTTTATTAACAGTTAGCATTTATAACATTTATAACCGTATAATGAGCCAGAGATGCACCGTTTATCAATAAAAATATTAATTTCATAAAATTCACAAGCTAAAGTGTGAAAAAAAAGTCGTACGTACATCACTGATATGAAATTCAAATATAAATTTTTATAGTCAATCTTTTGATTCTCATGCGCATATAGAAATCTTCTCTTTGATCAATCCTCTTATAGACATTAACAATATCAACTTCAAATCATTCGATTACCTAGAAAATTCATACGTACGTATAATATTCTATATACTTGTTGATTAATAATATACAACTATTTATTTTTGTAACCTAACGCTAACTGTTATTAGAAATCATTAAGGTTTCATTTTATTTGTCAATGAATATATTTGTTGTGTGCGTTTTTTTTTTCTTTCAATACAAATAAATTGATTGTTTTTATTTTTTTTATTTATTCTTTTTTAGAATTTTATTATTGAAAATTTCTTTTAACAAAATGGGTTATAATTCCTTTGCTGAATGAACTATAACGAATACAGTCGTTAATACGTAGAAACAGGAGTATTAATATATATATATATATTGGTAATACCTTGACTTTCATAGCCTAACGCTAAATTTTCATGCTATTTTAATACGTAATAATTTGTCAAAAGAACGTAACTTAAGCTTTCTTTTTACTATTAAATTATTAAAATAGCTTTAAATTTAATGATACGTATACTGTTAGCTGTAAAGTTAAGATATTAATTTTTTTTCAAATTATTAATCTGTTTTTATAATGGTAACCTACATATTTCACATAACAATAAAGCTACGTAGTAAATGATTATTAATTTGACAACTTTGAATATTTAGGTAGTTAGGTAGTTATTACAGCATAAAAAATCCGAATACGTAGTATACTTATAGGATCTGAAATCAGATGTTAAAACCTATTACGTACGTACGATTTTTAAAAATTTTTGGGGGATATATATTTTTTTAGGTTTGTTTTTAGATTTGGACTAGGGTTTAGGGTTGGGTTTACGGTAAAAGATATAGGTAGATTTTAGTAGGGTTTATTACAATATTTCTAAATTAACTGTTAAAAGACCCTTAGATTTTACGTACATACGTATTATTAATAAATATATACGGTATATATACTATACAATAAGCTTGAACTTGGAAATAAGTGCACTTTTAAAGTAAAGTTTGAAACCTGTTTTGGTTTGTTTTTATGTTAAAATTTGCTACGGAAATGCTAAAATTAAAACCTATTTAATTTATGATTTTTAAAATTTTCGAAGTATATTTTTTTAGATTTCTTTTTTAGATTTGGAATAAAATTAATAGCCTTTTTGTATTTAATTCTTCTATTTAAAAAAATGTTTTTACTATTTTCATGTATATATAAACTACAAAGACAAAAAAAATAGGTTTACTTTTTACAAAACAGTATATTTCAAGAACTAAAATTTATCTATTTTGTAAACTTATCAAAAAATTAATACAAAACAAAATTAACAATTTTTTTATAAAATATAATCAAAATAACCCATAGTGTTTATTATAACTCTAAAATACAGTATATCAGTCACACGATTTGTCACACTATTTTGCTTGTAAATTTTTATATATATAAAATTATAAAAAAAACATATAAAA